GCAGCTGTAGTCTGTTCTACCACACCGAAAATGAGGACTGTTAAAAAGCGCATATATAAAGGAAAACCCGCAACAAACCATCGCTTTTCTCTGTAATGCCATATACTAAATATGCCCAAATATTTCCTGTCTGCAGTGGAGTCTGAACGACACTGAAACTTAAAACATAATAAGCGGATGAATATCGGTTTTAGTAAAATCTTAGTATAAATATATATTCTGCCACACTGTTGTGCATTTGCAATCTTATCATGGGGCCTAAATGCAAACAAGAACGTTGAAAACAGCTCCAGTATGCAAACAAAATTGTTTTTTATTTTCAGTAGAAGGTTTATCCATAGTCTTCAGAGAAGTCACAAAACCGGTTAAACTTTCCTTTTTTATTGACTTAACTATCAAACATTTAAGGTACCCAGATATTCGACGTCTAAATATCTAATTAAAACGTGGTTTCTAGCGTTAACTTGTTATCGAGAGTTTTTTTAATTAGACTTAGTTATATTCATTTGTGACTTTTGTTATGGACGTCCATTCTTTCCCGCCAATGCGTTGACATTTTTGGGTGATCCTAAAACAATACTTCAAACAGACAACTTCGTAGGAAATAGTGTCCAAAAATTCATTATTTAGATAAATGCTTTTAAGAAATATCTTATTACAAAGGTTTTGGTAAACACGTATAAAATAATCCTTATTTATGGACAGTTGGCTGAAAACAATGAGTATAGTAAAGTGTCCACCACTATTTCAGAAACAATCAGAACCTCGTCGTAATCGAACACCAGAAATATTTACAATGTAACCGAAGGAAATTTTGCTACATATACACAAAATGGTAGGTTTACGATTGCAGCTGACAATTCGACGGAAATTTATTACTAACTGACCAGCATATCCACACGTGATCTTATGAAATATCTCATTCGCGTGATGTTGCAATCGGCGCAATCAAGCGAAATTCTGGTTGCCCTTGTCCGACGCATCTCCAACAATTTTCAAAGCGAATAAACAATAGACAAGTCTTAAGAATCCACGTTGGAATACATACCCGAACTTCGGGCTGTTTGATAAAGGCCGTACTTTACATTGTGTATAATAGCGAAGTATGTACATGAAATTTTTACAAAAGGGTTATTTTCAAACGTAACTCTATTTCTGTTGCTTTATTCACTCGTTTTTTATGTAGGCTTTAGAAATTAAGTTTACTTAGTAACCCTGAATTTTCTCTTTTTTGAATTTTCCATTTTTTAAGGAACAGAATGTTCACAAACAACGTAATATTACTCAATAAACCGCAATATGTCGTCTTTTAAATAGGGATGAGTCCTTTGCTGGTGTAAGGCTTGAAGAACGCAGCTTGGGCTGCGAACCGGGGATTTTCTTGTAAAAATGTTTAGATTTCATAACATAGGCAATCGACCTTATGAATGTTCTACGAAAACAACTTGAAAACTATTGGGCCTCAATTTTGGTGATTCGGTGTTCATACTTCCAGACTGTTCTTGAGAACTGGAAACGAGATGAAATAATGCTCCAGAAGATGACCGGTCGCAGTCCGGCCGTAGTCCTTTTAGGTTGGGTTGAAAATAACTCCAGTTAAGCATATTCTTGAAGCTTATAAACAGTTTGGCCGAGTAAAATAATTCCAGTTAACTGAAACAAACTCTTTTGAGTGCCCGTATCACAACATGATTTAAATAGATGCGTTTAGTACTGCATTTCCGAACTAGCATCTTCTGTGTCCAAAAATGGCCTCGTTCGCTGGCTTGACAAACACGTCCCGTCTTTGGTTGTACGCG